CATCAGCCTCTGGAAGGCCAGCAAGTGCTGGCTGCCTCCCACAGTGACTGAGGCTTGCCAGTAACCCAACATGTTCACTCTTAGTAACCCAACATGTTCACTGCAGTGGACTCACCTGTGAGCCGTGCTGTCCTATCCCTCGTTCTCCCAGGAGGTGGGCAGGTACTCTCAGCTCGTCTTCCGAAGCCCTGTAAGAGGTTGTAGTTACCACATCTCTGCTCTTGAAGGGGCAGTGAGTGAGAACTCTGTCTGGGAGTCTCAGTAGACAAAAGTGAGAATAGATCTCAGGAGTGAGGAAGGAAGAGGACCCACAGGCAGGAGGTCAGAGTGAAGACAGGTTCTGTGGGCAAAGTCTTCTCACTTACAAGTTTGAGAAAAAAAATTTCCAGGCAAGGCTAGGATGGCCTGGCTTAGGGGAAGCTGTGCTGGGGCCCAAGTCACCTCTAGGAGCAAGGCGGGTGGACATCACACACGCACTTCTGTGTCTGTGCTTTGGGTTACTCCAAACATGCTATGACTTTGTTCCCACCAGCATGTAGACTGATATGGGGAAGAATGTCCTATAAACTTGCCTTGGGAATTCTGGGCCCCTTTGTTGGCTGAGTGGTGGTGTCATGGAGGGTTGCTACCGATGAGCCAGGGACACAATCGTTAGTATGAGCCTTGCAGCATTTGGACACACACACAGGCACACATATGTGCATGTGCCACATAATTTTTACACCATTGACATATTCCAGAAATCATCTGATAATGTAGCCTGATTTGCATTGAAGATCTTTAATGATTTTATAATATTCACCCAAGAAAATTATAAAGTGGTTCCGCAGCATTTATAATGTTTATTTGAATATTTAATAGGGGTTTCTGGAAATCTATATTATCCTGCATTACTCACACTGCTAGGTGACTTGCTGCTTTATTTGGAGGGCAATGCACTTAGTAATCTTACTACACATAAAATAATTCTTCATAGAGGATATAGTTAAGCCTCAGCCAGGATGTCCTGAGGTGTGGGACTTGATATAAAGTGTATGGGGTGGGAATTTATATTGATAAAAGCATTTGATTCCTGAGACAAGCCACCAATCCTTCTAACTCACGGGTCTGAAAAGATTGCCTCTTCACGGTGCCCCAGAACACAGCACAAACTCACCACAGATACGGGTCAAAGAGGCCCACTTTTATGAGATGATCTTCTTGGAGTTTGTTGAGAGCCAGATCAGCCTGGAGCCCGGGAAGAGGCAATAATCAGACAAAATTTGGGGTGTTGGGGCTGAAAAAGAAGGGAATTGTGCTTTCTCTGTTTTCTTTCTCTGTGATTTCATAATAGGAAAGATAAAATCCACAGGTCAATTGCAGGATGGAGCCATAAGGAGAAATCAGGGAACACACTTATGGGCCTACTTATGTGTGTACAAAAGTGTCTCCAGGGTGGAGCCTTAAAACAGTGCAAAGGCTAAGAACAGGTCACGGTGGGTCCTCACCCCTGCACTCCTGATTTCAAGACCCCACTCAGGCTCATGGTGCAGCAACAAAGGGGTTTATTAACAAAGTGGAGACTGGGAAAAAACGTTTCTTTTTTTTTAAAGATTTATATATTCATTTATTTATACAAGCACTGGGTACAGTCAGAAGCGTAGGAAGGTGAGGTAATTCACCAGAGACAGAGTGGGGAAGAGAACAGGCAAACTGACGAAACACACTGCTGAGGGGAGCAGCGGGAGAGACAGGAGAGGTCTGTCGCACCATATGGGACCCTTGCAGGTGCCCGGGGATCGAACCAGCACTGCAGAGGCTGCAGGCAGCCTTGCAGCCCAGCACTCAACCACTGTGACACCAGGGGAGACCCGAAAAAAAGAGCTTCTAGGCCACAAGTTGCGAGCTCTCCTAGCCCACAGTGTCCACAGTGTCCAGCAGTCCAAACCAAAGGCTGCTTGTATAAGATGGCATCCCTTTGATGAGGGCCTGAAGCCAGTTGCACACCTGTAAGTGGTGCACCAGGATCCAACTCACCTTGAGAACTGGAGGTAACTGCAGGGGGTGCTGCTGAGATGGTCCCACAGCAGCAAGCAGCACCTCTCTGGAGGCCAGGCTGGCCAATGACAGATGCCACAATGGACAGTACCAGAGAGGATAGAGGAAGGTAGTGCTAGAGAATCCTAACAGCAGACCTCTCTCAGAGATACAGGTCAGTGTTGCTGGTCAGCACTGGTCAGCATGCAATGGTGCCAGAGAACAGGCCCAGTATGACAGCCATTTGAGTGATGTTGGCGTAATCCAACAGCAGACAACCCTTTTGGAGACACTGGGCACAGGCCAGTGTTACAATTCTACAGGTAATGCTAGGTTAGGGATGGGGGCAGGAGCAGCAGTAAGGATGCAGTTTGAAGTGGAGATCGGATGTCAATGTCTGAGGAGGTCTGAGTGTTGATGAAGCTTCCCAGTGAATGTCTGGACCAGTTTATCCAGAAGTTCCCACTACCCATTCATCAGGTATCTGCAGGGACAGCAACAGCCAGGGTCAGAAGCTATTGCAATCTGGGGAATTGTGGCCATTTTGCCTCACTGACATCCAGTGCTCTTGGCAAGTAAAACATATTTATCTGTAAAGAGAGCAATGAAAACACCAGAGTTTGTGGAAGGTAAAGCATACCAGTTTTGGTCATCATAGACCTATGACTCACATTTTGGCCTTCTATAGCACAAACTTGTAGGCAAATAAATCTCGAATGACAAGGCAGGAGTGAGAAGAGGTAGCACTGTGGTGCCTGGGAGCTTGCAGGAGACTGCAGTGACTCCTGATGTGTGGACAGAGGTCAGAAAGGTCAGTGATCCCAAAGGGGGAAAGACTGGGAGTTAGGGGAGTTCATGGGACGCTCTGCTGAGGCCCAATGGTGATGTGAGTGTCCTGGATGAACATAAGTTCCCCCGATAATAGCCTTGACTTACAGCAAGAAAACAGCTGGCTCTTTGGACGAATAAGCACCCCAGCACCTGCTGGGGACAAAGCAGGCCTCTTCAGATTGCATCTTCGAGGTTCCAAGTCTAGATGCTTCTTCTGCCCACAGTGATTACTTACAGGACCCTCTCCAACTATTACCATCTTTCTCTAAACAGGCGTAGTTTGCCAAGGCCGTGCCAGGCCAATTTTAGACCTAGGGACCTGTAGGGACCAAGTGAAACTAGGCTGTCCTCGAGGACCCACCCACCCTGGTGGGCACACGCTGAAGTGGTGAGCAGATGATAAGCATCCATGAAGTGTTAGATCTTTGGCACTCTTTGCGACAATGTCATCGGGTATTGTATATGCAGTTGTCTGATGGTTTGTTTTGACCTGGAAGATTAAGCAACTGCCAACCAAACCCTGCTGTTGAGCATGCTGCTGAGAGAACACAGAGGATGCAGGGCTGGCCTTATCTGTCTTCTGTAGGAAAATAAAGTGTTAATGTTGTTTTGCCGGGGACATTGGAAGTTGTGCCTTTTGACCCCCTGATCCGGGAGCCTGGCTAGCGCCCGGACCAGGAGCTAAAAATAGGGCTGGTTATGTAACTGTTCACGATATTCGGGACCACCAAGAAATATGGCTGGATGTGTAACTCCGGGGTGTCGTGCACAGAAACGTGACCAGCCCACCATGAATCCCTGGGTTTGGATACTGGCCATATCCGACCTTGGGAGATAAAAACACAGTGGTTGCCTAGCTAATGCTGCTTGCAGCTGCTGGACGTCTCCCATGCTGTTCTCCAGAGTGCTGACTCTTTGCCTCCGTGATGCTGATTTCTAAAGAAACTGTACAGTATGTATGCATGATAATCAGTTTGGTCACATTTGGGGCACTGTTTATAATTTTGCTTGTGCATCGCCTGTGTTGCTCACAATAAATCCTTTTTCCTTTTAATAAGGTGTGGTCATTAAATCCCACGGAATCGAGTCTCCCTCAAACACCTGTGCACAGCGCTAGCAATCATTTTTTCATTGCTAGTTACAGTTTCGTGTTGGATCTTGCTTCAGTATTTTTAAGAAAAGAAAAGTGATTCTAAGTGTACCCTAGCTGTGATGGGGAGATGGACAACTGTTCTGCGAACAAACGAATGAATGTTGCACACAATGTGTGCATGCTACACTTATTAAATAAATCCAATTCACTGACATGTATTTTTAATCCTAATATACAGTATGATCCTTTGGAACTCAACCATGTCCTAACTGATCTTTAAAACCCAAATAAATATGCTGGCAAAGTTGATGCCAGCGTATACAGTAACAAGCGTCTGTTTCATGATGAGTGTATGGGGGATGTAATGCATATACAGCTGGGCTGTGCATCTTCAGTTCTGGAATATAACTGATGCTCCCCTTTAGCATCTCAAAGTGAAGCACATGAGCCTCCCATAACTGTCCTTTACACCCCTCTGGCCCCCAAACCCTCCCACTGGTTAAGTCCAGGACTTCCCCTGCTCTTAGGTGTTTCCAAAGACTCCAGGGCCAGAGCACCATCCTGTCCGCCTGGGTCAGAGAATCTCAATGCCCAACAGCAGGTGCTCTGAAGACCTGGAAAAATTACTCACCACTCAATGTCCTGCCAAGACACAGACAGCACTCAGAGACCCTCTGGGGCCCTCAGAGGCCACTGCTGCTGCTACTGCTGTCATGATGCTCCCCACCCAATCTGGAGGCTCTCTTGCTGGCATCCTCCAACCACCAGGATGCCTTCTTCCTGGCTTCCTCCTACACCAGGTACAGGCTGTCTGGGGGCTCCGGCTTAGGCTGTCTGAGGAGGTCTTTGGCACGACTTACAGCCAGATGAGTGGCCTGGCCTCCCCGGGGTCTGCAGCAGCCTGCCTTGTTCAGCAGGCCAAGGCCCAGACTCAGACCCCAGGCCCAGACTCATACCCAGATGTACTGTTGACCCTTTGCCCTTGGGATAGTTCTGTGGCTACCATGTTTCCTATCTTTCTAACCTCACCAGGATTCTTTTTTTTTTTTTTTTTATTTCAGGGACCTTGATCCCGTCTGTGCATGGACTTGCACAAGGTAACAATCCAAGGCCATCGGGGTCTCCCCAGAACAGAGGTCACTCGGAATCTCAGGGAAGAAGTGTAGGGGGCCTGTTGCTCTTCCCTTTCCTAGAGCCCCTGGGCTCTACACGCTATGCCCACTGTTGCCAGGCAAACTGCCAGCTTGGCAAGGACATCACTTCATGACAGAGAATAAATCAGTTCCCTGACTTAGCAGGTTACCACACTTTATTTAAAATTAGGATCGGTCTATTTTATTTTACATTTCATTTTGTTTTGTTTTACTCATTTACTTTTTGGCTATTTATTTTCTCAACAATGTTTTTCATGGCTTTTCAAAAGACAACTGGAATAAAACGAGGTATCTTTTTTCAATTCTACAGCCCAGGAAAGTGAACAGAGAGAGGTTCAATTTCAACCTTGCCCCTGCAGGGGGCAGACACTGCGCTGACCTGGAACAGAGACCCTACCCCCTGGGGCCTGTCTAGGGTGGAGTAAGGCCCTCCAGCCACTGCTGGTACTTATCTGGACACATCTTGCCATTTAGTGTATGCAGATGTGCCCAGCTTTACTCACTGGGGCCTGGAGGTGACAGTAGGAGCCATGGCATTTACTGAATGACCCTGGCCATCCCATCAGCTCCCACTGGATGCACTGATCACACTGCAGGTAGAAGTGCTCATGAGCTGAAGCCTACTGGACAAACGTGAACTGCAGTTTACAGTTGTTATTACTGGTCATACCTGGGAGAGGTCAGCACAGTCTCATCAAGTGTTGGCCCTTGAGATAGCAGACAGATTTAAGACATAGAAACACGCTTGATTTTGGGGAGGTGTAGAGCCCAGGCTTTCCAGTACCATTCCCTGTTTCCTGGGTACATTATGCAAATGTTCCCTCTTAATTTCTAATGGAAAAGTCAGATTATTAACCATCCTCACCTCACCACCACAGTTGTTAACATTTTCCATGTGCTCATTTTGATCTGCACATTCTGTTACTCATTGCCTCTCATCTGGTGTGGGACTATTATTATCTTACCTCTGTTGGTCATTTGAAATAACTGAGAGGTGAAGCACTTTGCTCAAGGTTAAAAGGGAGAATGCAGGTCTCCCTGGTGGGTTAAAGACAGTGCTATCAAGTTATCGCCAGCCACTACAGCACAAGTTCAATCCCCAGCTCACCAGGGAGAAACCCACATGGTGCAGCAGACCGCTCCCGTCTCGCTTGCTGCTCCTCAGCAGTGTATTTCAATAGATCTGCCTGTTATGCTTTCTACTCTCTGGTGAATCCTTTCACCCCCCCACCTCTGGTCTGTACCCCAGTTCTTGAATGCATAAATAAATAAATCTTAAAAAAAATTAAAGGGAGAATGCACACAGAAGGTGGGGCTGGGGTGTGTATGGCACCCAGGAAGAGCCAAACTCATTTGCCACTTCTGCTGGAGTCATGGTCAGAAGAGGAGCTATCACCTATGGGAGGTGGGAGGGATGCAGGCAGGAGGCTCACATTCATATAGTGACCCAACAAGAGTCACTGTCCCCAGCCTCCTGCCTTATGACTTGTACTGCTTTCTTTCTCAGGTGTGACACATATATATATATACACACCATACATGCACCACACCACACAGGCCACACATATATACACACCATGTACATGCACACACACCACAGAAAACCCCAAGACCTTCATACTACATATTACACACAGTACACACACACCACACATACACACACATGCGCGCACACATACACACACACACCTCTCAAGCATCAGCTGACCAAGTTGGACTCATGTGCTTCTCCTTTACACATCTTGAAGTCCTGTCTTCTTCCTTTCTACAGACCTTACCTCCTGGCAATAGATTGTAAGACCCTGAGAATAGTTACCATTCTCTGTGCATCTCGTAGACCCATAAATAACACAAGTCTTCCCAGAGAAGATAGCTGCAGTGATTTTTTAACTTAATTAGCACATGCTTGGGTGAACAATGAAGAGGATATAGGCTGAATTCCATGTATTTATTCATGGTTAACCAGCACACTGAGCTGTTGATCAGCCTCTGTTGTTGTTTGCATAATGGTAGTAGTTTCTCTAGAAGATATGACCAGAAAAACAATGATAGAACATATTTGCAGATTAGTTAGCAAATACAACTTTAGGAGAATTGTTTTTGGCAATATGAGGGGAGGTATGAAATACATTGCAATGGAAACTGAAGGAAAGTAAAAATAATTTAGGCCAGTCATGTAAAGATAGAATCTTCTCTCAGAGGAAAGATAAAAGTCATCCCAATAATACAACTTTCCCACTTAAGGAAATGTTTTCTTCTTTTCCTTTTCTTCCCTGCTGTGCTGAGTCAGGCACTGGAACACAGCAGGACAAGTGTCGTGAACCACCATGGGGCACAGACACATATAAGACAGGATGTCTCAGCTCCTCGTTTGGCCACGCAGTAGAAAACTACTGATGTGTTTTCCTTCTCTATAATTTTGTTATTTCAAGAATATTATATCCATTAAATAATATAGTTTGTAAAATGCAGAGATTATATTTTTCAACTTAGCACAATTCCCTTGAAATTCAAGTAATGTGTGGCAATAGCTTCTTGTTTTTATGAATGGGCGGAATTCTATGATATGGATGTATCACAGTTCTTTAATCATTTATCTTTGAAGATCAGTTGGGTACTTTCTAGTTTGGGCTTTTAGGAACAAAGATGTCAAGTTTCGTTTTGTTTAATTTCATTTGAGACTTTCTCTTTGACCCCAGGATTACTTAGGAGTATATCGCTTAAATTCCATGTTAGAAAATATCATGCTATCTTTCTTTGATAGATTTCTAGTAGTTTCTTTAGAAGATATGACTGTTCTGATTGGAAAATATATTGTACATAGTTTCAGTACTTTCAAGTTTGTTAAGGTTTGTTTTATGACTTGGAATTTGTTACGTTATTGATAAAAATTCTATGCACATTTTGTTTAAATGTTATACATATTTTTATGTGAAAATAAACTTTCTTTGGGGAAAATGTCATGATCGTGGGCACTTAAATGGATTGTAGATTCTCCTTTTTTACTTGGAATTTTCTCTAAACATCTATTCGATCCTATTGTAAAATGTTATTGTCATGTCTGATTTTGTTCTAATATTTCTGGTAATTGCTGAAGAAATATAATTAAAATCCTCAACTATACTTGTGCATTAATCTATTTAGTACTCCTTTTAGCTCTGTCAGTTTTTGCTTCATACATTTTGAAACTTTGTTGTTTGGTGCACACACATCTATATTTCTTCTAAGTCCTGCTGCTACTCTTCTCTTATCCTATGCCTCTGGCCAGACAAAGCATGTGTTTTTAATTAGTTTGTTGGGTGTTTGGTTCTAGATTGTGGACCTTTCTGGAGCATGTTCTTGGATATATGAGAAATAAAAAGAAAACCCAGGGAAGCCACCACAGCACGTCTCTTCAAATGGTAAGTGCCTTGTTTTTCCCCACCCTCTCAGAGTCCTTTTGAGATTATCTGTTAGATTATTTTTAGGAGTTATCACTAAGTTTGCAGGGAAAGGTTTTATTTTTGTCTCTGAACCAGCAAAATCTTATAATTAAATATTTTATTTTATTTTCACCAATGATAGAAAATAAGTAATAAAAATAATACTTTAAAAATAATGAAATGAGAAATGAAATTATTTTGACTTCTTTCTCCAAGGCCCATAGGGAAAGTGGGGGATGCTTTCCTCTTACCCAACCAAGCCAGAACTCAATGAAAAAGGGAGAGTCACAGGCCCATGAGGCAGATAAACGAATGTCCTGACTCCTTGGCTGGAAATTAGCTGAGACATAAGACCTATTATAGCCATTTTTTTTAAAGGTTTATTTTATTTCTTTATACAAGCACTGGGTACAGTCAGAAGCGCAGGAGGGTGAGAGGATTCACCAGAGCCAAGCGGGGAGCAGAACAGGCAGACTGGCGAAGCACACTGCTGAGGGGAGCAGCGGGCAGCAGGAGAGGTCTGCGTGCCATGTGGGTCCCTCCTCCGGTGGCCGGGGAGCAGCCGGGGATCGAACCGGCGCTGCAGAGGCTGCGGGCATCTTCGCAACCCAGCACTCAACCACTGCACCACTGGGGAGGCACCTATCCTTTTGTTTTTATGGGTAGGAATGTTTTGTTGATTTTGTAGAATGAGATCTTCAAGAGTTAGGTATTACCAAGAACATGTAATACATTATCTCCTGGAGTTCTGCTCTGGCATGTGGCTCTACTCTCCTTGTTTCAATTGTCTAAAATGCCAATTCTGATAGGAACTCTTTTTCAGCGTCATTGTCCCCACTTCATAGAGGAGTCAACAGACTTTAAAATATTATGTAATTTGCTATGATTTTACTGGTGGCATGTGACAAAGTGATACATTAGACTCAGATCTGTTCAGCTCTGAAGCATGTAGGACAACTCCTATTTAAGACACTGGATAATCACAATAAGCAGATCCCTCTGTTGTTCATGTTCCTATGAAGCTTGTAGTGGGTGAGAGAGACTTCAGTAGGATACTCACAAATACGCAAGACAAATAAGTGTCTTATCACCAAATGAGACAAGTGCTTCAAATTACATGAAAGTGGTTCTAGGTAAAGAGGGGATCTGGTTTTGGGTCAGAGTCCCCTGCTGATATGAAGAATGAAAGAATAATGGGGTGAGATAAGGAAGGGAAGAAGGCAGACTCCAGGTAGTGGGGAAACTCCAGTTGAAACTCAAACTCCTAGGAGGTGAAGAAGCCCAAGCCTTCTAGTTCAGGGATCGGGTCAGGAGACACGGGAAGCTGAGTCACCAAAAGTAGAAAAGTGGCATGTGAAAAGGTAATGCTAGAGTTTTTTTAGGCACCACACACAAGTCCAAGACAAGAATTTTAGTCTTCACATTAGGTACTAGGTGCCTTCTTTCAATTCTGTAATTGAGACCTTGGATCCACCAACGCACTGCAGTATTTTTCAGGTAAGTAAGAGGTCCATATCAGGGGCTCAGTATATCATATAGATTAAAAACAAACAAAAAAAAAACAAAAAAAAAGAAGAAGAAGGGACTCTCAAAAAGGCCAGACAGACCTGGCTTCAGCACTTGTTAACCATGAAACTGGGTACATTTAGCTACCTGTAGACCTTTCAGTCTCCTTACTTCACCACAGCAAGAATAGTGCCAGCTTTATATGTTTGTGATGAGGAGTGAATCAGCAAGTGGTGCCCACTCAACTGACCTGTAGCACATGTGAATACATGACCATAACAGGAATAGCTGTGGTCATTGCTTCCCTTCACTGTCCTCAAGAAGGTTATGTTTCCTTTGGATGCTCTGCCAAGAGGGATGGGTCTCACCTCTGGCTTCTGGAGACTTAGTGTGTGCCTTTTCTAAACAGCTGGGGTTGCAATGGTTAAAATTTGGAATAGAAAGCACTCTCCTTTGCCTTACTAATCAGAGCATGAATTTCTGAGCAATTTCAGCTGCCTCTGTCCTCATTAAATGAATGAGGGGGCCACTCTCTCCTATCACATAATGAACACATAACCATCGTGGTTTGGAAAATGAGAAAATAAAACCAGGTATATTAAGAATACAATCAGAGAAATAATGATAACACATCAAATGTGTCCTTGTTCAGGATGAAAACACACATAACTTGTCTCAAGAAGTGGTCGGGAGGAGATTATGTGGGGAGAAGACATTTATATTAACAAAGGATGGAGAGCAGTAGTATGCTGCCATTCATACAGATAGACATATGGAGATATGTGAGATTCTTATAAATATTCTGAATTTTAGAATTAAGAGAGTAAAATGAATTTGGATGGTTCAATTTAGGAAAACCATAATAGTGAAACTAATAGGCATAATTCTATTCTTTTCTGTCCAGCTGGATCCATTAATAGTATTATTGAAACTTCCATTGAATAAGTACCTGCTGTGCTCTAGGACCTGCATCTGTTCTTTGGATCTAGAAAAACACAGATTTTGTCGAACATAGAAGATCTCATTTTTTTGCCTCCCTGGTGGTGCAAGGGTTAAGCACCACACTATGATATAATCTGCAGCCTCTGCAGCATGAGTTCAATCCCCAGCTGGCCAGGGAGCAAACCACATGGCACAGCAGACCTCTTTTGTCTCACCCGCTGCACCCCTCAGCAGTGTATTTCAACCGGTCTGCCTGTTCGGTTCCCTGCTCTGTCTCTGGTGAATCCTCTCACCCCCTACCTCGCTGGCCTGTACTCCTGTTCTTGTATGCATAAAAAATAAATCTTTTTTAAAAAAATCTCATTTTTACCTAAAATTTCTACCAGGACTTAGAAGAATGATATTAAAGGAGTCTTCACATTTTCTGAACAGCAATTCCTTCCGTGTAAAAAGTGGGCAATAGTGCCTACTTATGGAGTTGTTGTTGAGGGAAATTAGATGGCCATCTGTCATAGTGTGGCAAACCCAAACAGCATAATTGGACTGAGATATGCGTTATGAACATGGCTTACGTTAGTCCTAAGCACAGAGTGTACAGATGTGTCAGGGCTCCACAGTCCCTTTCTTCAACATGTTAGCAGCCCTGGTCCTCAATTTATTGATAAACTTCTATTTCTTTGTTTTCCAGGTGAATCTGGCATTCTTTTCCACACTGAAGACTGTGATGAATCCCTCTTTATTACTAGAGTGTTACAAATAGCAGGCATAGAGCATGGACCCAAGAACTTTTTACTTAACTTAAGTATGGTCATCAATATGAAATTTAGGGCTATGACTAGACCTCTTCTAGGCAAGTGGTGATGATCTTGTACATTGAAGACAACAGAAACATATACAGAGCACACAACAAAGGAAACCCAAGCATGACTTTGGTGGCCAGTGGCCATAATTTTACTGACATATGTTCCATGCTTGCATACAATGATCTCTGTCTCTTAAAACTGCTCATAAGCTTCCATTTCTAGCGAGAAAAAAGTGACAGGAACTGTGTTTACCATCCTCCTTACAAAAAAATTAACATCAAAACAGAGAGAAAATATTGTCTTTAAGATACCAACAATGAAACTTGGATTATATAATAGGTGTATATTGAACTTATGCAGAAACTGCCATATTGTTTTTCAAGACAACTGTGTCCTCTCCCTTCCTTTCTTTTTTCCTTCCATGCATCATTTTCTTTCTCCCTCGTTTGGTTGTGTGTGTGTGTGTGTGTGTGTGTGTGTTTTAATGAGAGCTCCAGTTCCTCTTCATCTTTCTTCACCAGCACTTGGTACAGCTAGACCTTTTAATTTAGCCATCCTCATGGGTCTATAGTGATATGGCATTGAGATTTTAATTATCATTTCCTTGATAGATTGAGCTTTTTATATAATTAATAAAAAAAAAATTTGACACGCAAGGCCACAAAATTTTTCTCCTTGTTGTTGTCTAGAAGAATTGCAATCTAGGTTTTACATTGTCTGTGATTCATTTTGAGTTAAATGTATATATTTTGAGATATGACTTCTTTGTTGGATTACATTTGATAACATTGTTATTAGAATATTGACTCTTGCTTATATGAAGGATATTAGATTTTGTTTTTTAAGACAGATAATTTTATATGATAGATAAATGGTTTCCCTATTTTTGGCATCCAATTTCTTTTATTTCAATGTAAAATGAAGCCATTTTTCAATTGAGGTAAAATGAGTATCTCATATTCTTGAAATTTCTATACTAGTTGGTTTTTATTTTCCAGGGTGAGTTCTGTTAGGGAAGGAAAGCTGACTCTGATTTACCGTGGTATAATATATAAAATGTTTAGATTTGTAAATTAGAATTAATGCAAATGCAAATTCTGAACTATGTCAGCACAATGGAGTTGGGTGTGTTGGTATAAGACAGTCAATCTTTCTGGTGGAAGATATAGCAGGAAATCTGGATTACATACCTCTAGCACTGCCATTTGCAAAACAATATCCAACAATGAATGCAATTAAGATTTCCATAGAGTAGTTTGGATGATATGGTTTAGGTACTGCAATCAATCAGACAAAAAAAATGTAGTGGAAATAGCTAGAATTAGCTAGAATTCAGGCATCCATCTTTAGTAAAAGGAGAGGAGTGAATGACCTGGGGGGACATGAGCAAATTAATCCGAGGAAAAATAACGTAGATAAATTATACCTAAATTTAGGAAATGCTAACCATCGTTTGATGGCTTACACAATGAGAGACATTTGAGTTATATTTGTCTTCCTTTGGATGATCTCTATGGAGATGAGTTACTGGGGGTCTCTTCGCTGTAGAAGGTAACCTTCTACATCCCATTCCAGAGGGTGATTGATGGGGTAGAGAGAGCATGGGAGGTGCAGTTAGCATCATTCTTGGTGAGCGACTCAATACTCTAAATGTGCCTTCTCATTGGAAAACTGGAAGTGATTCCTCTCTGTTGCTGGAGAGGGGCATGCAGAGAGATTTCAGCCAGTGGCACTGCCTTTGTTCAGCTGAGCGACGACATATGTGCTCATTTCACATTCTCAGTCGGCATGAAAGTTCCTTAAATACCTGCTTGCCCCTTTCTGCTCTGTTCAGGGGCAACTCCAGGTGTGTTCACCTACCCAGACATCACTGTCATGGTAGGAGCTCATGGTAGGAGCTCTGACTTGCATGCTTTCCTGGATAGTCTGCTGGGTCTCAGGCCCAACTCCAGAATGGCACCTAGGGAGAGGTTGAGATGAAGTCCCACCAGCTCTCAGTTGAATGTTGCAATTATTTTATGAACATTTTAAAAGCCAAATTCTAGCAGAAAGAAAAAGAAAGTCTTTTTATATATCTTTACCTCATAAATAAATAAATCAACATTCCTTCCTGAGAAGTAGCATGAAAAATGTCTTTGCTTTAGTGGAAACCTCGTAATAGAGGTCTTGACCTTTTGCCATCAGCAGATGTGTATAAGCTAAGGTCTCAGACAAAGATGAATTGATGATTTCTTTTCTTACTTCCAAGCCTCACAAAAGATAGTGTGCCTGAGAGTTCACAAGAAAATCAGGATTTGTCATTGTTTCTAAAGTTTTATTATTTAATGGCAAACAGTTTAAAGTCACAAATAATTGTTTTTATGTTTCACTGACTGTGTTTGATTACCATGCTAATTATAAGATTCTCAGAAAGTGGAGACTTTAATGTTGTTTCAAAGTAAAGCACTTGTTCAGAGACCATCAGAGCAGGATCACTCCATTATTTCGCATCAAAAAGTAAAGCAAGTCTTTCAGAGATGGACGGACAAGCTAATTTCTTTTTCCATATATTGTGATACAAACTTGCAACACTAGGAGCCAGGGGATTTCCATATATAAAGCTCCAAAGCAGACCATTTTGTTGAGAGTGGAGGGACAATAGAGGGGATCTCGGTAGGTGTGATGGCAACAGGCACAACTATTTTGGAGACAACTCTGACATGTGTGTGAGTTCTCCTCCCACCTGAATGGGCTCCTGGCAGAGCCCAAGCTGCTGTTTCACCCATCATGATTTTTCCGGGATCCCACATCATTTCTGAGGCTCCCAAAATGAGGCACAGCAGACCTCTAACTGGAATTAAGACGCTTCTTTATTGTGATTTCACAGGGATCAATAAGCTAGAGATAAAAGAAAACAGCACATCCTGCTCTGTGTCCTCACTCCTCAGCTTGAGGGCAGGTTTTCTGTCCCATCACTGACTTCCTGCTGTTCGATTTCATGGGACTTGTTTCTCACCATATCGACTTGTTGCTTCTTCCCCTGAGTCTCACCAGTAGGAAAAAAACATGATTTAGGCTGAGGTCAAAGTGTTACAGGGCAGCCCCAGGGGAAAACAGGGTGACTTGGATGAATCCTGCAATTAGGATCATGGGACAAGAAACTCCCTGGTGGCCCAAGGGGTTAAGATGCAACTTATGAAGCTGTCCGCAGCCTCTGCAGCACAAATTCAATCCCCAGCCAGGGAGCTACCCACATGGCGTAGCAGATCTCTCCTGCCTCGCCTGCTGCTCCCCTCAGCAGTGTGTTTCAGCCTTTCTGCCTGTTCTGTTCCCTGCTCTATCTCTGGTGAATCCTTTCATCCTCCCTTCCCCCTGCACCTATAGCCTGTACCCCAGTTCTTGTATGCATAAATAAATAAATATTAAAAAAAAAGATTTGGGACAAGACCAAAAGGTAGGCACAGAGAGAAAAAAAAATAAAGGTTTATTTGCAGGGAAGATGAGAAGAGGAATGCACAGAGAAATGTTAATTGGTCAATACACCCTATCCGTAACACCATCTGAGCTGAGACCTCAGGGTGCAAGGTGAAAGCAGGGAAAGCAAAAGAGCACAATCCCACAGGTGTTTAATTTTATACCCAGCGGGACTGTTTAACTCCCAGCAATCCCCAACTCATCTCCCTTCTGGAGGTCAGACTCATGGCATGCTGGGAATTTTAGTCCTTGGTGCCTGAGATCTCTTTATCATGGTGATGAGGTGGAATCTATAAAAACATCATGGGGTAGAGTTCATTCAGGACAAACTGTTCTTCCAACAACTGGTGTGCACCAGCCTCATAGTCCCACCACAAAGACCAAGGTCAAGTCTACGGAAAAGAAAAACATTTTCTAGACCAGATACTCATGTTGTGAGGGAGTCCCACTGTTCTCTCTCTGCATGGTGATCAATTGTCAGCAGGCTTATACCACAGGACATTACAGGGGCTTTGGAGAGCCCAGTCTATTGTTTCTGTTGAACTCTGGGGTGCCGCAGACCAGCACAGCAGTAGACGATGAGGCCATCTCAGGGTTGAGAGACTGTGCAGGGTGGTCATGGATTCGGTTAAAGAAATGACAAACAGACACACTTCAAGAAAGTGTAAATCTGAGCGTAACTTTATTTGAGTCAGTGGTCAGTATATATATGTTTTCTAAAAGCATGGAACAGTGAACATCAAAGAAATCAGCTTGCTCATAGGTTTAGCTTATCATTGACAGGGCAGTGATTTATGTCCAAAATACATCTGGACCTAGCCGTATTCCTAAGTAGACAGGCTATTAACTCTTTATATTTTTGTTCTACATAATTATATTCTTGTTGAACTTACTACTACTACTACTTCCTACTCATGTTTACTTATAATTAATTGTCATGGGTGAATTTACATTATCATGCAAGTTAATATCAAAGGTACTAAAGTCAAGCACATAACAGAAAGATTATTAAACCAACAATTCTATTATAACACAGTGTTTAGTAATGCTTCATTTGCATTAGCCTAATTATTAAATTATGTATGTTTTTTAATTAGCAATCAATGACCAGAAAAAGGAAAAATTTTAGAGAGACAGTTGTAGCAGAATAAAGTTTGTGGGCTTTGAGAAAGCGAGATAAGGTTCCAGGTGGTCAGCATTTCTTTTAATCATCTTTGTGGCAGCTTCTGGTGGTCATTATCTTTTGGCAGGCATTCAGCTTCTCTGCATCTTAAGGTGTTTGCTGTTCTCCCCCTGCGCGCATGGTTCCTTGCCCACGCCGGACCTCAGGGACCATGGCAAGAGCCATTAGCCCTGAGGGTCACTGCAGGGGGAGGTGCAGCACTGGGGCAGTGGAGCAGGCCTGGACCTTGGTAGAGCTAGCAAAGATCCAAGAAGAGGTATCCCCTTCCAAGGTTAGTAACTGAATACAACAGGCTTCCTAGCCAAATTCTGTCTCCCAATTCTACACTGAGGTGTCTTCACAATACCAGTTCCAGTGTGTGAACAATGGGGTTAAGTATTAGGTGAGAAACCCTCCATCTCATCCTACTGCCCATCCCCCCCCCCATCCAGCAGCTGGACCATGCCAGAGAATCAGAGTCCCACAATGGCAAGCTTTCAGGAGAAGGTGATGGGATTGCTGAGTGATGACCTGTGGAAGGGCTATCTGAACTGCAGCACTCACCCTGAGCTTTGCATGAGTGTGAAAGATTTACAGGGTGCTTGTGATAGCAGCTATGAAACAAACCTGGTGAATACATAGATTGCTCGAATTGAAACCTAAGCTCCGGCCGTTTTTTTTTTTTTAAGATTTATTTATTTATTTATTTATTTATATAAGCACTGGGTACAGTCAGAAGTGTGGGAGGATGAGAGAATTAATCAGAGCCAGAGAGGAGAGCAGAGCAGGCAGACTGACGAAGTACACTGCTGAGGGGAGCAGAGGGCAGCAGGAGAGGTCTGCGTGCCATGTGGGACCCTTGCTCTGGGGCCGGGGATTGAACCGACACTGCAGAGATCGCGGAAAGCTTCGCAACCCAGCACTCAACCGCTGTGCCACTGGGGAGGCCCTGGCTTGTTACTTTTAATCCAGTGAGGGCAGGTACCACCCACTTTTGCTTGTATTCAACCAGGATTATGATATGAATCTGTGAATATATAAATGGACAAGAAAAAATTCACTTCAAACCTTTAATGAGACTTAG